AGTATTAGGCCTATTACGTTATGAAAAGTATAAGATATTAGTATTAGGCCTATTACATTATGACAAGTATAAGATATTAGTATTAGGCCTATTACATTATGAAAAATATAAGATACTAGTATTAGGCCTATTACATTATGACAAGAATAAGATATTAGTATTAGGCCTATTACAGTATAACAGGTATAACATATTAGTATTAGGCCTATTACATTATGACAAATATAAGATATTGGTATTAGGCCTATTACAGTATGACAAGAATAAGATATTAGTACTAGGCCTATTACATTATGACAAATATAGGATATTAGTATTAGGCCTATTACATTATGACAGGAATAATATATTAGTATTAGGCCTATTACATTATGTCAAGTATAGGATATTAGTATTAGGCCTATTACATTATGACAAGAATAAGATATTAGTATTAGGCCTATTACATTATGACAAGAATAAGATATTAGTAATAGCCCTATTACAGTATAACAGGTATAACATATTAGTATTAGGCCTATTACATCATGAAAAGTATAAGTGATAAACACTTGATAATTGGTTTTGTGAAGCATTGACTGTTGCTATTTTCAGTTTTTAAATAATTGACAAATCTGTGTCTGGATGTAAGAAGGTGGAGGATTTCACTATGATTGTGTTGGGGAGGGAGCTACTACTAAGGCACCTGGGCAGATGGGATAGATACATTATTTTCATTTAAAATTAAGACTTCCAACAAAAGAAATAATTACCTGTTTCATGCTGTTATTGACAGGATAAAACAAAGTGTCATAATAGTCAGCAATCCTGTACTGTTCTGCTCTGGGGTCCAGAAATGCTGTTGGTGGGGCTGCACTAAATTAGGACAATGTTCATTAGCACAAACATGCATAAATTACTTGCATTATAAGATTACCTAGTGAAAATAACATGAATTTAACTCCTTCAAGTTCTCACCTTATTCAAATATGTGAAACAGAAGTACACATTGTTATAACATGATTAATTTTTGTTTTTAGGAACATTTCAAGTTGAAAAAGTTTTGAGTTCAACGTATTTCTTCAGCTGAGGTTGGAACAGCAAGTAAAATACCCTGAAGATTTCATTCTATCATTCTGTTAAATTTATTTGTAACATCATGATGTTTGGTAAATACTATTTATAAAGTTGTTTTACACTACATGGATACATTAGATATGTACAAAAGTAAAGTAAGATTGTTCAATGAATCAGTTTCATTTTATCTTTCTTTTATTTATATATGTGCATTTATTGAATATCATTTTCACACCATCATTCAGCATTTAGAGGAAGAGGCAAGATATTTAATGACTTATTTGTTTGCGACATAAATTGAGCAAAATGTAAGAGAAATAACACTTTACCTAGTTCTGTTTGTAATAAATCAGACTCAGGAAATGCTCAGTTGTTTATTTTCGATAAATAACAGTAAAAAGTTAAAAATAACATATGTTGTATTGTCTTGCATCTCAAGAACCGAGTTATACAGTTGTTCCGAAGAAAACAACTGTGTAATATGCCTAATTTTCAAAGTGAGAACATTAAACTTATATGATAGGTGTATCAATTCTTATAGAATGCGATATACTTAAACTCATGTAAACAAATTAAACAGTGAGTTGAAATTAAAAATATTATTGTTTTTCAAGTGTACAAGACCTATACAGAATACTGGTATATAAACTATACTGCTTTGTGATTTCTTCTTCAATTTGAATAGAAAAAAAGGAGAATTTCGACTGCACAAATTAAACATAAAACTCATCAGTGATTAACAATGAAAACAAAATACATAATTCATATATTTTATACATATATAGTAGAAAAATTTCACATTTTTGAAGTTTAAAACATTACGATCATGAAATTTCACTGGTAGTTACAACTTCTGTAGTTTTGTGAATTCTGTTGAAAAATGTTGTAGTCACAGTTAATGATGATTGAGTTAACCACATTAAATTTTATATGTCCTTATGATTCACCATTTAGCTGTTAAGCCTAAATTAAAATAATTCACAAATATCGTTTTTATATATATATTATTAATTCCCCATACTTTGTAAATGTATAGTTCTTAAGAAATTAAATTAACAGAAATAAACAAAATTAATAGTTATAAAGGATTAAAGACTTGTATTATTAATTTTGACATCTGTGCAAATAGCGCTTTTGCTGTATATAAATTGACTGAACAATGAAAGCTTTTTTTAAACTTAAAGCGCCAGAGGCCCATATTGAACAAACTTCATCTATTCGACCAGATTTATAAGGTATTAGGTGTGGTGAAGATGCATACTACCTCATCATTTCCAGTCTGATGATTTGGCTGAGTACTTGGCTAAACTTGTTTAAAACAAAAAACTGAAGAGAAGAAGCCACACGCAAAATAGTTGCAAGTGATAAAAATAATAGCACTAGAAAGATGTTATTCTGGAACAATGGAAGGTGATTTATTCAACAACGTTTTGAATCTCAGCCTTTCATCAGGTGATATTTAAACATCGACCTTGTGACTACAAAGAACAATCAAACAAACTTTAATATTTAAACGTTAAAATCAAACTTCAACAGTTTCATGAATTAACTTTATTAAATAGTTTGTAAATGCTTAGGAAATTTTATAGGCCTAAGAAGAAGTGGATCTTTCACATTATTAAAGCATCAGCCAAAAGATCGAAATACTTTCCGGTATCTTTCCCAGAATAAGAAAATGTTCACATATGAAATATCTGTTTAAATCACATGCAATTTGAAGGTCAATCGATTTTAATTAAAGAATTAGACATATAAAAAATTATTATGAAAAATATGTAGATAATAATTATAGAGCAAGAAGTTAAAACAGCCTATTGCTTTTAGGTATTTGTTAATTGCCTCAGACTGAACGATTTGAGTATGTAATAAATACTTTTATACAAATAATTAGTGTGGAAATTGTTAAAAAGAAAGCCGCGATAGAAATTTGAAAAATATATTTCTTCTACATAAGTCAGTTCCATTTTGAAAAATATCTTGTTTAAACAAGTTCAAGTTAGCAATTAATACTTTTATCTTTCATAGAAAATTCGACAAATATATAAACTGTAGTACAAAAATAATGGTTGCCATTTGGTAGGAGTTATTCACGTTACATAAAAATATCTTGTATGTTCTGTTCGACGTAGCCAATAAAAATCATAAAATTATGAAAATGCTTATTACATATATTTATAACTTCGCTTTTGTAAAACATCAATGCTCATAGAATAGTGTATAGGGATTATAAAACGTTTTTGAAATGTTCAGCATCATAAAGGTGAAGAATAAAGGTTTTTTCCCTCTGCTTGAAAGTTTGATGCAAAAACGACCAACGTGAGCAACTAGTTGAGCTGTGGCGCATTCAGGTTAAAGTGATTTCCCTTAGAGCGATGGGATAGGTCCACAGACTAACAGGCGCTTCAACAAAATCACATAATCCGAATACTTTCGAAAAGTGGACCTTTCTTCATCTGCATAGAATAGAAAGAACAAAACCAGAAAATTTAGAAAAATTCAACATGAAATGAAAAGATAGAAAATGCATGATATGCCTGCATACCACCCAGTCTTTGTGTGTGTTTGTTCAGCATAAAATGACCCTTATCTATGTTTTCAAAATCTATGACCGGCGAATGCTAATTCATATTTCTTGTTCACTGGAGGGATTTTTTTTACAAGAAAAACGTTACGCCAAACACTAGTCACCTAATTCTCAATGTTATCGATTGCACTTCAGACAAAGATTTAAATAACAACGAAAGTAAATTTCAAGCCAATAGAGATTAGATTCATTTCGACAGTATAACACTGTGTATCAAATCCATTTGCAACAATTCTATTCACCCACTTGAAAAACTGTACTATACATACAGCAGAGAAAATAGTTACAAGCAAATTAACCTGTTAATATACTTCTCAAATGACATTATTTTAACGTAGTAAAGCATCAAACACTGCACACAATATGCAGGACTTAAAACTTCCTGTATTCAAAAGAGAAAACATAATATACCCCAAGGCGACGAAAGTTATCAGTCCAATCCAAATCTTAATCTTCACGGACTCTTAGCCCTGACAAAACTGAAAAATTACAGCATGATCGCCAAAGAATTAGACGAATGTAAAAGTTTAATAACTAATTAAAATTAACGTTTTATATTTGCACAATTTTAAAACTTTTATTGAAGGTGTCAACGTCTCCCACTTTAAAAGCACACTCTATATGTACATTGTTTCGACATCCTTTACGCTTTCTTCAGGAGTTATATCCAAACCCTCCTTTTGTTTGTAGTAATTTTGATAAATTTGAAGAAATGGGTTTCCTACACACACACACACACTTGTTAAATTCAATATATCGACAGTTTCGACTGCTGCAATTATACTTTCTATCAGAGGCGTTTTTAACACTTCAAACTACTCGTTGCAATTTTCTCATGGAGCTTGTCTATACTGATCGGCTACAGGTATAGAAATGTATAAGTCTTTTTTGCATTACTTTGGAGGCCCGTCGGTGCGTTGCCCCAATTGCATCGACTGTTTTCTATTAATTTATTGTCAAGGCATCTGAACGTTTCTTCTACTGGAGTTTTAGTAAATAACAATATTACATCAAACGATACAAGTGGATCTTCCTTTTCTAATTTTACGTTTTTCGTCCGCTCTACAAATTCTATTGAATTCTTAACTATATATTTGTTCTTATCTCTCAAAAAATAATACTTTGTATTGTGCTATAAACGTTGTTTTTTCATATGATGTACCTATACTTGATACTATGTGACCCCCTTGTCACTATTGTTATATGACCTTTACATGGATGTGTTTGAAACTAAAGCTTTATGTAAATGTAAATTTGAGCCAAACGTCGAGGTAAGATATATAAATAACATATTCTTGGTGTGGCGACATGGCAACAGTAAGCTACAAACATTTTCTAATAATTATCATTTTTTTATTAATTCATGAAGTTACTGCCGTAATGGATAAGTAACTACAGAAAAAAAAATGCAATAGTAAGGAACGATCAATTATATTAACGTATGAAATTCAAGAAAATAATAGTTTGCATTTTCTACACGTACTAGTCAAATAAGAAGTAGATGGTAACTTGGAAACATCAGTTGGTAGAAAACCCTTTACTGTTCTCATGCCACCACGCCAGGAATTATGTCATATACATCTCGAAAAATCTCTGAATTTTATACATATATTTACAGAGCTTTAAAAATATGTTCAAAACAGGAAGATTCAAGTAACTGTTACTAATTAAGTATGTAGCTGTTAAAAAAAATTGAACTAAGTATGGTAGATAGAGCATTTAAAAAAATTAGTAAATATTTGATATTAGTTTAAAATACTACGTTAAGATCTATTTATGGAAAAGCCAGAAAAGAAACTTTAAGTTTATCTTATATTCCAGGATTAACGGATCAATTATTTAAAGCTTTTAAGAAGCAACAAAACTTTTATCCTATCTTTAAACCTATAAATAAGATTAAAGAAATGTTGGGAAATACTAAAGATAAAATAAAATTAAAGGATAAAACTGGGATTTACAAAATAGAATGTGAATGTGGGAGTATTTATATTGATCAAACGAAAATTAATTTAAAATACAGATTACAGAAACATGAAAGTTACGTAAAAAATAATAAAATAGAAAACTCGGCTACAACAGAACACGTAAAAACAACACAACACACAATTTTATGGGAAAAAACTACAATTTTAGCTCAACCTCGCAATATTACAGCTTTAAATGTCGGATAATTACTATAAAAGAAGTAATAAGCACGAATGAAAGGACGTCGAGTCAAAGCATTGATATTTGGCGTGATGATTATAAAGATTAACCAAAGAATTATCTAAACAACAATGCAATGTAATATATGATATTGGAAAAAAATATTTTGTCTTGGAAATAACTACTAAAGACGTTGTAAAGGAAGTCGAAACAATGTACATGTAGAGTATGCTTTTAAAGTGGAAGACGTTGACGGCTTTAAAAAAAATTAAAATAAAAAAACACTGATTTTAATTGTTTATTAAATTTTAAATAATATTCAAGTGTCGATCATTCGTATTTAAATATAAAAGTTTTGTCATTATCAACAGAAACGCCCCCCAGTGGCAAAGCGGCATGTTTGTGGACTTCTAACGCTAGAAACCGGGTTTCGATACCCGTGGTGGGAAGAGCACAGATAGCCCATTATGTAGCTTTGTGCTTAACTACAAACAAACAATATCGACAAAAACAGCTATGGAATAAAAAATGTTCGAAACTGATCTCATGAATAAATATACTAAACACTGGGCAATGACCTAAACAACAACAAAAACTGATTCTAAACACTGGAAAGTGACCCAAGCAACAACAAAAAAACTGATTTTATGGTCAAAGAGCTTCTTTATGATATAACAGAAGAGGTTAATATTCCCAAACAGTGTTGGGTGAACTTAAACCTTCTAATAGTCGTATACCCAAGTTATAAAAAGCATAAAAACGATATATATGTATGTTATTGAAACCTATGATGGAGAAATTAAAAGTCTGTTCTGGATAGCATGTAAATTAAAAATCTGGAACCCTTACGATGGTATATATCAATCCACTTCAAGAACACACAGGACTTATTACTTCGAATTTTATTGATAAAACAATACAG